CTGAAGGCTTTTAACTACAGTTTGTGGACTTCCTGATAATAAAGAAAAACAGAGCAAACAAAGAAAAACACATTTTGAACGTTAAGGAGTCAGTTTCCAGTTATGATGTGAATTTACTTTAGGCTAAGGTTAGGGTTAGGAATATAACCGGTGATGGTTTGGGTACATTTCAGATTTGGGCAAAAACTACAATACATTTCAGTCAATGTAAAGTTCTAATATAGATATAAATACAAATTCCTGTGTAATAAAGATGTCAATAACGTCCCGGTTCTCATTAAATCTACAATTTATGATTTCATGTAACTCTGCAACCTTCGTGTTGTAACTATTGTTGTTCCACCTGCAAGACAAACTAGAGGGACAGAAAAGTTTAAGCAGAAGTCTGCAGCCAACCAATCAGAGCAGACCTCAGACGCTGCTGGCCAATAGGAATGCTGGAAAAGCGGCCGACAACACGAAGACAGGAAGAGCACGCGGGCTGTTGTTGTTAAAACGTTATAACGTCCGGGAGATGCCAGCTCTCTGACTGTTTTCTCAGACGGCATGGCTTCGCTGTCATGGCTGGGAGACCTGAGCAGATTCGCTCTGTCACCGTCAAACCTCGCGCCTTTGCTTCTCTTCTTCGCGGTGTTTTATTTGGCTAGTTTTTACCAGAAGCGGCGGAGCGTCTACAGGAACATCCCTCCAGGTCCCCAGCCGTGGCCGGTGGTCGGGAACTTCGGTGGTCTGCTGGTGCCTCCCTTCATCAGGAGGAGGTTCGGACAGACCCCCGACCCGAACATTGGAGTCATGGAGGCTCTAACGTCGCAAGCCCAGGTTTACGGGAACATCTACAGCCTGTTCGTAGGCAGCCAGCTGCTCGTTGTCCTGAACGGCTACGATGCGGTGAGGGATGCCCTGTCAAACCATCCAGAGGTTTTCTCTGACCGTCCAGATGTTCCTACTATCTCCATACTCACTAAACGCAAAGGTAAGGAGGCAACAAGCACACAGACTTCACGTAAACGTTACTAAAACTTTAATACATAGTTTTATGGGCTCTCTGCTTCCTTTTGGTATAATGAAACATGGTGGTGGCAGCATCATGCTTTGGGCTCATGTGTTTTGCTTGGTATTCTGTAGGATTCTTAGAAGACTTTCAGAAAAACAAAGATTTAAAGCAAACATAAACTTTAAAGTCGTAGGAAAACTATATTTAATTTTGAGATAATTCTGGGTTAAACATGTAAATACATGAATTAATTATTTTAATTTTAATATAAATTTGAAGTCTTTTTAATCATTTCTGTCATTCCATGTATTATATATAATTATAAAACATACTTTTTATTTAAGATTGTGTTTTGGCATTTGTTTAAATATAAAGGTATTTATATATTTTTTTTGTTTTATTTATTAAAAAAAAAAGGTGCTACCCTGTACTTTTTATTTATTTTGTATGCTTTTGTTCAGAATAAATATAATGTTATAAATAATTTTGTTTGATTAGAAAAAAAAAGTCTAAATAAAATACTATATTGTTAAGGCGTATCGTTAATATTGATTATTGTACCGACTCCTGCTACAGATCAGGGTTTTCACCGGTCATTTAAAATCATTAAAAGTCATAACATTTTTTATTTTTGAGATTAAGGCCTTAATTGACATTAATATTTATTAAATGTGATTATCATGGCATTTAAAGTGCTTTATTTAAAATAAAAAAACATATTTTTACTAAAACACTTTCTTTAGATATATTATAATGCAATTCATCTGCGTGGAACTGCTTCTGGTTGATCGTAAAGCCGTATGTTCGGGAAAAAAGCTTGAGGCGGAGAAAAATTGAGAGAAAAGGAAAATACAAATTTCAATAAAAGTGGCTGGAAAACGATAAATCTATATATATATATTTATATGTATATATGAGAGTCATGTTTACTTGTTGATGGCATTCAAATTATTTCCAAAAGCATTGAAAGAGCATTAAATTAGAGTTATTCATTCCTGTATAAACCCTGCAGATCGACTAATACGTCAACAGGCTGAGCGTTTGGGTTGATATCTGTATGTTTTTTCTGCGTTCATTAGGCATTAAGGATGCATACATTAAAACTCCCTCCATTTAGAAGCGATAGTTAGTAATAAATGTTTCTGTTTTGTTGAAATTCAGATTTTTTTTTACAAACATTTGTTATTGTTGATAACTGAGAAATTAGTTAACTTTTACAAGGTAAAAATAATAAAACTCCAAATAATTTAGAATTACTCTTCAGTTGCCAATAAATTAGAAATGATTTGACAGAAATATGTGTGGTAAAGAAGGTTAAAATACAGTATTTCAAGGTTTTACGTCAAAGTCTATTTGCTCCATTTGCTCCAAAATTAAGAGTGAATTTTCTCTGATTGTCTAATTTCCTTCGGTCAAAGGTGCTGTGTCTCTGTACTGCAATGTGAAGAAAAGCTGATCCAAAAATATCAGTTCTGTTTTACCTATTTTAATCAGACTAAATCCCATAAATAGAGCCTGTCTGACAGCACGAAGTAGACCTGTGCTCTGGGACACAACACTGACCACCAGAGTTAGGTCCACCATGAAGTACTCCACTCAGTGGGTTTAATGTAGCTAAATATTCTTGATTAATAGAATCATTATTAGGAACAATATTTTTGTATCTATTCAGGTTGTATTTGTTTCATATGAATCTTTTTGAAGATTGCCTTAAATGTTCAGGTCAAACAAAAATAAAAAAAAGCAGGAATCTGTCAGTAACTGGATGCGTCTCCTGTTTCTGATGTTATTCCAGGAATCGTGTTTGCACCTTATGGGCCGGTCTGGAGGAAGCAGCGGAAGTTCTGCCACTCCACCCTCAGGAACTTCGGCCTGGGAAGGTTAAGTTTGGAGCCCTGCATCCAGCAGGGCGTGGCTTCCGTCAAAGCGGAGCTAATGAGACTGAGCGAAGAGCGTGGCGGCTCTGGCGTGGACCCCGCCAAGCTGATCGGCAACGCTGTGTCGAATGTCATCTGCTCCCTGATCCTGGGTCAGCGCTTCCATCACGAGGACCCCGAGTTCCGCACCATCCTGGACCTGATGGCTCGGGGTCTGGAGATCTGCATAAACAGTCCGGCGGTCCTCATCAACATCTTCCCTCTGCTCTACTATCTGCCTTTTGGGGTCTTTAAGGAGCTACGGCAGGTGGAAAGAGACATCACCGTGTTCCTGAAGAAGATCATCGGAAACCACAGCCAGACGTTGGACCCAAACAACCCCAGGGATCTCACCGACATGTACCTGATGGAGATGTTAGCGCAGCAGGCTGCAGGAGAGGAGGACAGCAGCTTCACAGAGGACTATCTGTTTTACATAATAGGAGACCTCTTCATAGCTGGAACCGACACCACCACCAATTCAGTTCTCTGGGTTCTACTTTACATGGTTCTCTACCCCGATATCCAAGGTAAGAGCGCCAGCATGAATCAGAGAGGAGGGCGTCAGACTAGAGGTTGATCACTTGGAGGAATAAACATAAACTTAATGTCGAAGGGAAATCATATTTAAATATCAACTCATTGTGGCTTAAACATGTATATAAATGTACTCTTTATCAGACCATATTGTCCCAAAATGTAGAAAATTGCTATTTGAAAAAAAAAATCCTGTCAAAAAATCTGTGTTTTTTCTCGTTATCTTCTGCAGGCCAGTTAGTTATATGTCAGCTTTTTCACCTAAATTCGGCCAATCATATATCAACGGTCATCTTTCAACCAAATTTTTCTTGATTCATATGTCGCAGCTAATATACGCAACGGTTGAAATAAGAAATAAGAATAATTTACTTTCCCGTTGAGTTATGTCCCAGTGTTCACTAGGGGTTTAAATCACACCTATCATGGCGATTCAATTCAGTATCAGTTTCCTGACCCAACAATTCGATTATTTTCGATACTCAAGAATACACCATCTTCTTTTTCCTCCAACACGTCTGTCTTGCCTACTGTTTACACGAGTGTGTGTAAGCAGAAAGAGGGTAGTGGCTAAAGGAAGTGAGGTAGGAGGGCAAAATAGGTTTAGCGCCACCGCAGCACGGGAGTCAGAATCACGTCTAGGAGCAAATTATAAAAAATAGACCGGAGGGAAAAAAAAAGACGAATCGATACTCTTGCGGACGTGTCGATGCATCGGATCCTCGGCTGTTGGATCGATGCATCGATACAAAACGATAAACAAACAATAATTAACGCCCCCCGGTGTTCACAGGATGGACGTCTGTGTCTTCAGCAGGCGTAGAGCTAACTGAACTGGCAGCGTTGTGAGGCAAGGGCTCAAACATGTACGGCTGTAAGCTTTCTACACCAAACCAAGCTTCTGCCGCCCTGGCGTCCTCTTCCACAACATCTTCGTCCCCGGTTTCCTAAACTCTCCTACTCTTGCACGTTTCCGCTGTCCTGGCGTTCCTTGACAGTGTCGCTTCTAAAGGCCAATTTATGCTTCTGACGCAGACAAAAAGCAGCTGTGATTGGTCCTTGGTATGCCTTTCCAGCTGTCTGTGTGGTCGTCCTTCTCGATTCGGTTTTTAAAAACCGAGGAACAACTACAATGGACAACCTACGGAACCTCCTTAGTCTTTTTGCCAACTCCATTACATCTAGTAAATGTATCTGTTATAATGTAGGATATTTTGGACCTCTTCAAAGTACCACAAGCTATTAGCTGTTCAGTTAGTAAGGTTTTCTGTTTCATTTTTATGAGCTTAGCCACTATTTTAAGATGTGTTAAGTAAAAAAAAAAAAAAGGGGAAATAATTTAAGCTGGTTCAGAAAACAAGGTATTTTAAACTTTAACACTATTGAGTGGGTTAGTCGGTACTTAAACCTTTATGTTTATTAAAACATAAAGGTTTAAGATTTGCTTACTTTTTGTTGTGAAAAGTGAGAAAACCAACATTTGGAGCTGTTTTTAGTTTAGGGTTAAATTTTTGCAAAATAAACTGGTGCTTTGTTCCAGATAAAATGAGGAGG